CTTGAAAGACTTAAGAATGGTGTTTGAGTTGCTCTGGAGGTACCAACTTAAGATGAATCCATTGAAATGCGCCTTTGGAGTTACTTCCAGAAAGTTCCTTGGTTTTATTGTCCGATATCGAGGGATTGAAATTGATCAAGCCAAAGTAGATGCAATCTTGAAATGCCTGAGCCTCGAGATATTCACGAATTGAAAAGTCTACAAGGAAAGTTAGCGTACCTTAGGAGATTCATCTCAAACCTAGCTGGGAGGTGCCAACCATTCAGTCGTCTTATGAAGAAAGGTATCCCTTTCAAATGGGACCAAGCGTGTAACAATGACTTTGAGAACATTAAATCCTACTTGATGAAGCCTCTAGTTTTAGCAGCCCCTGTACCTAGAAAGCCATTGATACTATACATTGCGGTGCAAGAAAGGCCTGTTGGAGCACTGTTGGCCCAAGAAAATACTGAGGGGAAAGAAAACTCTCTTTACTACTTGAGCAGGATGATGATACCAAACGAGATGAATTATTCGCCAATTGAAAAAGCTGTGTTTGATGCTAGTCTTCTCAATTCAAAAGTTGAAGCACTACTTTCAAGATCATATTGTTCATCTTGTTTCTAAACCAAATCCCATCAAGTTCGTGATGTCAAAACCTGTTCTTAGTGATCGACTAGCGAAATGGTACCTTCAATTTCAACAATTCGAGATTTTGTACATCCCTCAGAAGGCTGTAAAAGGACAAGCATAGGCAGACTTCTTGGCATATCATCCGATGCCCGATCACTGGGAGCTAACTGACGAACTACCTAATGAGGAAGCAATGGTCGTTGAAGTTTAACCTCCATTGAAGATTTACTTTGATGGTGTTGTGCATCGCATATGAGCTAGTGTTGGCATGGTATTTGTCACTTCCCAAGGTGAAGTCTTGCCCTACTCCTTTACCTTGACACAACTCTATTCCAACAATATTGTTGAGTATCAAGCATTAATACTTGGGCTTGAAATGGCTGTTGATATGAAGCAGTTGCAATTGCAAGTCTTTGGTGACTCCCAGCTAGTGGTCAATCAGCTCTTAGGTAGTTACGAGGTCAAAAAACTTGAACTACGCCCTTACATAATTATGCTAAGAAATTGATGGGGTGGGTCGACGATGTGACTATTCAACATGTGCCAAGGAAAGAAAATAAGAAGGCTGATGCTTTAGCTGCCCTAGCTTCATCGTTAACCCTACATGATCAAGCGCAAGTTACTGTCTGTCAAAAATAGGTAGTACTGCCGCCAATGTCATCTTGTCGCTGTTTTTGAAGCTTAGAAAGAAGAATGGCGACAACCCATTATCGTAATTGAGCTATGGGATACTTCCAAAATATCCGAGGAGATGGACTGAAATTCGTCGTCGTGCACCTCACTCCCTTTACTACAAAGATACTCTATACATAAGGTCATTCGAGGGAGTACTTTTCCGATGCTTAAGGGAAGAAGAAGCACTCCAAGCTTTGCAAGAAGAAGATTCTGGGGTATGTGAGTCACACTAATCTGGACCAAAGCTCCACTTCCATATAAAATTGATGGGATGTTATTGACCAATGATGGTAAAAGATTGCTTGGACTACGCTCAAAGATGCAATGCTTGTCAATTCCATGCAAATTTCATTTATCAACCTCCTGAAGTGTTGCACTCGACTGTTGCATCCTGGCCGTTTGACGCTTGGGGATTGGATGTTGTTGGACCACTGTCAAAGTCCTCTAGTAGGCACCCATACATCTTGGCTGAAACTGACTACTTCTCAAAATGGGCTGAAGCTGTTACTCTTAAGGAAGTAAAGAAGGAAAATGTTGCAAGTTTCATCCGAGTAAACATTATCTATTGCTTTGGCATTCCTTGCTACATAATAACGGATAATGGCTTACCGTTTGACAATAGGTTGATGAACAAGATTTGTGAACTTTTTGGATTCAAGCAACCTAACTCTTTTATGTACAATGCTGCCGCCAATGGTCTAGCCGAGGCATTCAACAAGACTCTATGCAACTTATTAAAGAAAGTCGTCTCCAAATCCAAACAAGATTGACATGACCATATGGAAAAAGCTCTGTGGGAATACAAGACAACTCACTGCATGCCAACACAAGTGACCTCTTATGCACTTGTTTATGGAGTCGAAGCCGTCTTGCCACTCGAGCGTCAAATACCTTAATTACGATTAGCTATTCAAGAAGGAATCACTGATGAGGAAAATGCTCGACTTCGATTAGCAGAGTTAGAGGCTCTTGATGAGAAGAGGTTGGAATCTCAACAGAGTCTTGAATGTTATCAAGCTCGATTATCTCGCTCTTTCAATAAAAGAGTTCGCCCAAGATCCTTTCAAGTAGGAGATCAAGTCCTTGCCGCACGAAGACCCATTATTACTTCCCATAAACCTGTAAGGAAGTTCACTTCAAAATGGAATGGGCCATATGTCGTGCAAGAAGCTTATTCAAGTGGGGCTTACAAGCTGGTTGATGTAGATGGCATGAGAATCAGCCCAAGATACAAATTTTTTATGGTGAAGTCGCGCTAATTTGGAACTGTTGGCATATCGAAAACCAAAATCAACTTCGAACTATCATCTGAAACTATCCTTAAGGCATTAGACTTTACATTTTAGATATGTTTTAGATTTTGAAGTTTAGTTTCCAAGAAATCAAACGGCTCATGATTCAGACGCTCCTAGTTCAAAATGCGGTTTTTTTTTTGCCAAAAGTACGCAAACTAGAAATTATAACAAGAAGCAAGAGAGAGCTCGTGGAGCAAACGCCACAAATTTCTCTACAAGTTTCAAGCTTCAAGCAATCAAGTTCAAGTTCAAGAAATCAAGTTTAAGCTCAAGAACGAAGAACAAATCAAGATTCAAGGAGTACAAGTTCAAATCAAAGTTCATGCTAGTTGAATTCAAGATCATCGTTCGTGGCAATAACTACATATTCAAGATCAAGCTCAAAGACCCTAGAATTTATTTACTTTTGGAAAGAAGAATCAGGGGATTCATAAAGATTGTACAGTCATATTATTTGAAATAAAATACTACGATTGTTGCAATATTTTCGGTCTTGATTTTATTTTCTCGACGCAATTTATTGTCTACAAAAGGGACTTAAAAACTACTTGTAAAATTGTTTGTATTTTGCGTGAAACACTATAATTAAGATTAAACTACATTAATTAGCAAGTTTCCATGATTTGTAGGTGGTCACAATATGGATGCAAGTTGAAAGCGAAAGGTCGTAGGCTCGTAGCAGTAGCGGGGAGCATATTCAAAATCAGAATCAGCAACTTTTTAGACGAATTCTCTCCCATCGTTGTCTTAATCACTACGACTCTAATGTAATAATGTCAACATCTCATAATTAAATTTGGCTTAGTTTTTGCTTTTTCAAAATATTTATCACATAGGAGAGGTGGGTGGAAGATAAAGAGAAAATGGGAGAAGTGAAAGAAAAGGACATGAGGCATTTGCTAAATGATTTAATTACTTTGTGGTATAATGTAACATTAGGAGTATCGTGTTCGGGTCATAGATATGAAATCTTCTTTTGGTATGAAATATTTACCCTCCAAAATGAAGTTTTTCGTTGTGAATTTGGACTAGTTGGGGTCCAAAGCAAATACCGAACATCTAATATAAATGACAAAAATGTTTAGGAACATGCTGTATAATTAAAGTCCAAGAAAGGATACTTCATCTATATAAATCAGTGTTAGGAATTGGTATGAGAAGTCATTTTGGAGGAAAATATTTTTTTGATGAAGTAATTTTCTGATGTTTCGTTAAAAATTATTTTCCTTACATATGGTGGACAATATTATACTTATAACTATCTTAATTTTTTACTTATAGTATTACTTTCCTCCAACTAACGCTTAGACATTACTATTAACTTTTAGTCCTCAAAAATTTCATCAAAATACTTTTTGATTTACTATATTGTTATTAACATATATATATTTAATATATTTGTTACTCACCAACCAAATATATTTTCTATTGAAATGACTTTTATCATACTAAGTTCGGGTATAAAATTTTAAGTACAAAACTGAATCTCTTGAAAAGCTAAATGAAATCCCCACAAAAAGTCCTGCAGTGGTCCAGTTTGGATCGAAAAGAGGTATTTTTTTTGGAACAAATTCATTTTTCAAGCTTTGAGATTGTGTTTGTTTGCTAGCTTTTGTGAAAACATAATAATTTATTTTCTTAAACTTTGAAATAATTTTTCAGGTTATAATCAAATTTATTCCCAGTTATTACCAAGAACCTTGATTTATACATATTGAACTACTATGTCAAATATTTAGCTAAAATAATTGTTAATGTGCAACTTACTATTTAAATATCACTATTAGTCAAAAATATTAATTTAAAGTAAACTATGTAATAATTCAAATCAATTGTAAACACTATTATTAGAGTATTGGCAACATTATCATAAACTAGTACTACTAATTTATATGAAGTTTGTGGCGAATTTTACTAATCTAGTTTCCTGCAACCAAGTTTAATTCATTTTTTATATTTATTTTTGCGTAATCATCATATACGTTCTGCGCTACGTTTTACTTTTATTTGAGCGACGTATGTTTCAAAATCCTCAATAATTACCTTGAAGACATTCCTATATTAACTATTTCCATCTCCACATAAGGAAAAATGCAGCATATATTTTGAAAAAGGAAGAAATATCTTGAAAGTTGTTAATATTTTTATTGTTAGTATATTCTAAGTTCTAAAACAATTATTTAAAAAATATTGATGGAGAGCTTACACGCATGACACGTCACACACACGTCCATGACCACGAGCAAGATTAAAAATAGTGACCAAAAAGGAACAATTTGAAATTGGTTGGCTTAAATAGAAAAAATTGGAACAAATGTCAAACAATTATTGGTGCATTTGAAAACATAAGCCGCAGGGACTTTTTCTAAAGTTTAAGATTACAACTCAATAAAATTACGATTTTGTCCAACGCACAACACTCTACCCCTTCCCCTCCACTCAACACTTCTCTCTCTCTACTGTATCTCCATTTTCACCATAATAAAGCTTTTTTCTTCAAAAGAAATAAAAAAACGAAAATGCTGGTTCAGAATTAAACTAAATTATTACGATCAGGCTAAGAAATCGAAGATATTTACCTTCACATTGCTAAGGTGCTTTTTAATTTCCACTACCTTTTTTTCCGATTAATTGTTATTTACCCTAATTTCTAGGGTTCTTTCAGTTGCTTAAGGTCATTATTTGGTAATTTTATGTCAATCTCGTTGCTTGCATTTATTTTCGGGTGCTTAATAGATCAGTTGTTTGAATTTTGCTTATCTAAGAGCTGTGAGGACTTAATTCCGATAATTTTGAAATTTATTTTGCATTTTACTACTCTATTTATCTTATACTGTGTTACACATTGTATTTGGCTATTTGAAATATTTAGGGTTTTTATATCTAAACAGCTAGAAAATCAAAGGCTCTAATAGGAGGAAGCTATTTTCGTGCTAGCTAATAGAGCGCGGAAAAAGCAAGAACAAAATGCTGGTTCGGGTATGACCTGAATTAGGATGATCTTGCACTGTAATTGAAGATCTCTGCCTTCACATTGTTAAGCTGAGTTCTTATTTCAAACAGTTTAAGTAATATATGCAGTCGGCCTAAGGAATTTTTACGCCATTAGGTCACCTTAACGTATTGTAGCAGGTCACCTGTTGTATTTTCAAGATGACAAATTTCACATTGTAAGGAGGCTTACCTTAGATGTCCTTTTCAGGACCTGATAGTGTAAAATATATTCTCACTTTCATATTTCTGAAAATTGTTAGTCCCCCTAATTGCTAGGGTATTGACTTTCATCATTTGTTCAAGTAAGCTCATCAGTTTGCTAATACAATTTCATTCTCACTGATTGCTTTTTGTTGCTCGATGAATAAAGTTGTTTGAGCTTTTCTTATCCGAGACTTTTGAGGACTTCACTCTGAGTCTTGCAAGCTTATTTTGTATTCTTACTTGTTATATTTGTACAGAATTTCACATTGGATTTGTCATTTGAAATTTGTTTTGCCTAAACCGGATTTGGCGCTTGAAAATTGATATTGAGGATCCATATATCTAGCCAGCTCCCGCTAGTTTGGGATTTAAGCATAGTTGAGTGATTGATGTATAACCGTGATCTGAAGGAATTTCACATTATAGAAGTGCCATATCAAATCTTGCTTTAATAAAGTTCTACTCTTCATGCTCATTTTGCTTGAAGATCTATCATCTCCCCAGACCCCACTAGTGAAATTACAGTGGGTTTGTTGTTGTTGTTGTAATGTGTTCTTTCTTTTTAGTTTGCTTATGAAATTATCCAATACTCATTCTGGCTCTCAAGCTTATGTAAACTCTAAAAGTTACTAATTTTCTGTATATACTTGGGATTCTGTATGTTGCTCACGCTTTTTGTGGATTTTTCATGAAATTTAAGAGGGGGCGAGGGTATATATGAAAGAAGCCAATCTGAAGATTGTACTGTTTTAGTCAAGGAGCGGAGAGGAGGGGGAAGATGGAATCCAGTACGCTGCTTGATTTTGCGGTTTTCCAGCTGTCACCAAAACGCTCTCGGTGAGTTATAGCTATGCACTTTTTACATTTCTGGCGAAATTTTATGAATTTTCCTAATTTATTCTAAATTGATTGGACAGATGTGAATTGTTTGTTTCCAGTGATGGAAACACGGAGAAACTGGCATCAGGATTATTAAAGCCGTTTGTGACCCATTTAAAAGTTGCAGAAGAACAAGTTGCATTGGCAGTTCAGTCTATCAAGCTTGAAGTTAAAAGGCGTAAAAATTCTGAAACATGGTTCACGAAGGGAACTCTAGAAAGGTAATTACCTGTTCAACTTCTCCAGGAAAAACTGGGAAAATGACGAATGATGTGATTGATGTCACATGTATTCCAGGTTTGTGAGATTTGTTAGCACACCAGAAGTTTTGGAGCTTGTCAATATCTTAGATGTCGAAATGTCTCAGCTTGAAGCCGCCAGAAGAATATATTCCCAGGTAATGAACTCTGTCATTGTAAACTGTCATATACAACTAAGTGACTAAAATAATTAGTAAATTATAAGCTTCTTTTTCCGTTATTTCAGGGAGAAGGATATCAGTTTAATAGCACAGGTAAGAATGCTAAGTGACCTATCTTTCTGTTCACCATTTGTTAAGTACCTTGCTTCTGCAACATTAGCATAATAATAGTCCACATTTCACACCTCAAAGTAACTCTTCTACATATAGAAGCTTCTTTCTCTCAATCCAAAACAATTAGGGGTCGGCAATATAATCTTATACATCGAATTCTATTTTGTTCAGGCCGCTTTCACTCTCTATAACTCAATAACTCTTCAATGTAAAGGAGTCGACTTCTCATTAGGTTGTCATTTCCTTAATTTTGTCTCCTTTATTCTGCCCATTCCCTCTTTTGATTGTTGTTGTTGTTCCATTGTTTTTAACACTCTTATGTTTTGTCATTGGGACTACAATTTTTACTAGGAAGTGTATGCAATCTTGGCATTATCTCATACTTCTCCTTTTCCTTCTTATTATGGTCTAGCTTTGGAGGATAAGAAAAAGTCTAGAATTGATGGTCATGTCAGATATTGTTATTTATAGTTGGATCCCTAGAGAACTATATTGTGGATAATTATGCGTTAAAGAACGTTCTTCTGTGTAGATACCATGAAATTTTGGGCTCATTTTTGGTGGCGATGAACGCCTTTACACATTTGATAAACATTAATTTCAATAAGTTTTCCTGGTTTCTCTAGTTATTACTACTTAATAAGCTCTCTTTGTTGTAAACTCGAGTGTGATAAATGCTTTACCAAGTTTGTTGATCCATTATTCACGTGTTACTAATTTTGGCTATTAGATCCGAGATTCAAGACCGAATTTCATTCTAAATTACTGTATTTAACCCACTAGTTCTGTGGCACTGTGTTAGTTTTCTCTGACATTGCTATCGGCTTTATAATTCTTCCAGGAAGTGGTGGATCTGGAGTTATGGTAGCAGCTGATGCAACAAAGTATGGCCTCTTTTTGCTTCTTCATGCATGGTTTGCTTGTAGCATTTGTTGCTTAATTTCATGTTCACTACTGCATGTTTACACAGGAAGGAGTTACTGCGAGCTATTGATGTGAGGCTTACTGCAGTTCGACAGGACTTAACTACAGCTTCTTCTCGTGCAGCAGCTGCCGGGTTCAATCTAGACACAGTATCAGAACTTCAAATGTTTGCAGACCAGTTTGGTGCCCATCGCTTGAGGTAAGGATCTCTTGAGCCTTTCTATGTTCATTAGCTCTTTCCAAACCTTCCTTCTCCCCCCATGTCTATCCTCTCGCAGAAGTTAGTCTTGGATTCAATATATCCTAATATCCTAATTGTTGTAGCTTAAGCTTGTATAGCATGCAGTTCCAACTGGCTGTCTGCACAATAAGTGCCCTCATTCTCTTGGTGTGCCATTGTGTTTAAATTAGCTGGTTACTCAGAGAAAGAATTGGAACTATGAGGGCAAATGCTGGTTTTGGTTTGTCATTGGCGAATGACAAACAAATCCTTGAACTGGTCTAAGTGATTCCTAACTCATAAAAGCCAAAATTGTCTAAAGATGACCTGAAATATATCGAAGTAATAGCAATTTGGAACTCGTATTACCCAACGCGCCTTAAGTTGTAGTGCCTGGTTTCAAAGGGCTTGGATCATGTTTATTATCCATAATGGGACTGAGCAGTTCGTCTGATTTTTTTGTATAATGCGGTTGCAACTTGTGAGCACCTTGATTATTCTACTGCTACCTGCACCCTCCCTCCAATACAGATACCAGGTAACTATCACTAAAGCTTAGGTGGATGGAAAAAAAATAATTTTTCTGATTTAACCAGGAAGAGTTTACCTCTCTGGTCCAAGGATATCGCCTTGCACTCATGTAGCACTCTTTCCTTTCAGTCATGCTATTTTAATTTTATATGTTACATTTTCATCTATCATACACTATACTAGCACATTGTGTCTAGATATCCGAATTATTTACACTTAGGCACCACAATTCCTTATCTCATTTCAACTTCATTCTTCCTGTGGGGCTGAACTCGTACGCTTTTGTTCTGCTAGACTTCTATTGAAGCTAACACTATCTCTTTTGTTGATGATTTACGCTCTAGACTCTTTTCCACATTTCAAGCTTTTAATGGACCGCTCGATAATATTGTCAATTAACACAATATTGTCTGCAATATAAAACCTCATCTTGTATACTATTAGATTGCTCATCCCGAGCCTCAATTTTTAGATTATTTAAATATCGCCAACCTATACCGAGTGAACCATTATTATGTACCTCTATCCATTTCATGCCCATATGCACACATTATTCATTATTTTGTTTAAAAAATAAAATAAATAAATATCTTTCCATAACATGGCATAAGAATACATCATTCTTTAAAATGAACATTTAAACATAGCTAACAACCTTGAATGGCCAAACATCATCATCAAAGATTACACAAAAATAATAGTAATTCACCAATGTCATACCCATCCCCCAAAATACCACTCGTCACCATCTATTGAGCTTATCTGTGACACTTAAGAACGAAATATGAAATATTACATGCTTAATCCGATTATTCAATAAGTATAGGTGGCGTGCTGCCATGATCAAAATTAGGCTAGCCAAAACAAGGATGAAACAAGACCCTAGCTTGCATGTCGCTTGTCCAGCATTGGACCTATGCCTGCAAAATGGCAACATAGGATGGAGCCTACGTATTGGAATACTCGGTATGAATCATAGCAAAACCACCTCATGGTGGTGCAAGAGTTATATAAATCAATATGCATGAATGAAATTAGTAGCATCCAGTGTTTTTGAGAGCGAGAAGCGCAAAAAAGCGACAGGGGCTCGCTTCACCTCAAAAGCGAAGCGTGAAGCGTAGCGCACACTTCATTGAAGTGAAACGCAATTCTTAGAAAACATAAAGTGAACCTTGCAAAGAGACAATATAAATAATCAAAAAGTTCAATTTAAAAACTTAAAAATAGGTACCACAAAATCCTCCATAAACCATAGGATAAGCAAAATCAAAAGCACTAAATTACTGAAATCAATAACATTTCAAAGAAAAAGGAAATAAACTGGAAAAAATAATAATAATTAAGATTAATATACTAAAATCAGCAAAGCAGCAACATTCCAAAATATAATAATTAAGTTTATAAACTGAAATGCACACAAAAATTAATAAATAAAGGCTATATACGTAGAATAAAAGGAAAAAAGAAGGATCGCTGCCTGCCCTACCAGTGAGCAGCAGTAGACGGGAAGAAGAAGAAAGAAGAGAGAAAAAAAGGAGAAGAAAAAAGGAGAAGAAGAAGAAAGAAGAAAGAAGAAAGAAGAACAAATTACCTAGATGTTGGACGGACTTCTGGAACCCTAGCAACAACGACGATGCTTGATGGAATGGAGGAAGAGAAGAAATGTCTCACTTTGGGGTCTATGTTTTGAATAATTAAAAGACCCAATCTTTTTTTCAAAAAAAATTGACCCTTTTTGACTGAAGCGATCGCCTTTTCGCTTCTCGCTTGTGTGTTACTTCTCGCTTCAGGTGATGAAGCGATTGCTTTTGATGGTCGAGTCGCCCCAGCTTCAGAAAAGCGATGAGTTGTCGCTTCGCATTGCTTCTCGCTTAAGGCAACGAAGTGATCGCTTTTTTAAACACTGGTGGCATCATAGATGAATGTTTGTAAGTGGGGGGATATTGTGGCGACCTTGAAACTTTCATAAGCTTTCAACCTTTTAAAGTGCGCTAATGAATGTTAAAACACTTATTTTTGCATGCTAATGAGAGCTAATATTTTGAAGAATATTGTTCGAACATGAAATATAAGTGGACATGGTTTGAAAGGTATTAAGGATGTTCGGAAGTGTAGAAAAGTGTTTCGGAGCAGTTGAAAATGTTAACGGGAAAGAACACCTAAAGTAACATATGCCCCAACTTCAAAAGGGCACAACTCCTAATGTATTAAAGAATTATGTTGTGAATTATATATTAAGTTAAAACTCTTGAAGTCCAGTTTCAAATGCTTCAAATTGTTCGTCACTTGGACATTTCTAAAAAAAGTTATGTGTGTTTTATAGAAAAGTGTCCAACAGAAAAAAATTGGATCACGAGGTACAAACTGCGAGCGCAAGGTACAAGTCGTGCAAGCACTTGGGCCTATATAATAACATGCAACAACTACTTTTTTTCGGAATTTTTGAGCTAGGCTTTGAGCTAAAGAGGGAATTGGAGCTTGGGACTTTGTCTACCAATTAAAATGAGTTTTATATAGAGTTGAGTTCATTTTGCTCATTGTATATAGAACATAACACCATTTCATCCTCTCAAACACTAGATTATTGGTCTAATCTTTCAAAAGCACCAAAAAGAGGTTTATGTCAAGTTCAGTAAGGGAGACGTTGTATAGCTGGAATTTCAAAAGGAGAAAGAGAAGACTCAAGGTGTGGGATGTAGCCCCACTAGCTCTTATGTTGGTTGTGTGGAGGGAGAGGAATATAAGAGCGTTGGAATGATTTGTACATATAATGAGTAGCCTCTTGTCTCTAGTTTCTTTTTGGTGCACCAATGGGGTCTTGTTAGTATAGATGAGTGGGTGACTTTTGTAGTGAACCATATTTTGGTGTAGGTTTCTATACTTTTTGGTATACTTTTCGTAACGGAGGTTTTCCAACACTAATAAAATTATTTACCTTTAAAAAAAAAAAGAACTAAAAAATTCCAAAGTTTGAATATTTCAAAAGAGCTTCAAGGAGGTAATTCCAACAACTCAAATTCATTTATTATGAGCAATTAAGAGTATTTAGAGAACAATTTTGAAGTTGCATTGGTTGGAAAGTTTAAATCAAAAACCCTAGCTTATGGCATGAATGATGTTTTTTAGAAATTGGTTAAGATGATGAATAGTGTTTTGGGAATTAAATTGTGAAATATAATGACCATATTTAATCTATTGAATCATTTATTAGCTAAGTTATATGTGAACAATTAAGAGTTCACTCAAATAAAATATTTTGGTTTGTTGGAGGAATATGGATTTAAATGGAAATAAATAGAAAAACGCCGAGAATTGAATTGTTATGAGTTAACATTGATGAAAATGAGTTTAAATTATTGGAATTACCTTCTTGAAACTTTCATAGAAATTCAAAGTTTGGGAATTTTAATTATTCTTGGAAGATTAGACCAATAATATAGTGTTTGGGAGGAATGATATCAATGTATAATGAGTAAAATAAACTCAAACACCATACCTTAATTGGTAGACAAAGTCTCAAGCTCCAATTCCCTCACTTAAAAATCCCATAAAGTAGCTGTTGCCTGTCACTGCCTTATATAGACTTAAGTGCCTGCGCGACTTGTACCTCACGCATCACGGGTTGTACCTTGTGATCTAAGTTTTTTCCGGTTGGACACCTTTTAGTAAAACACACAACTTTTCATAGGAATGTCCAAATGACGAACGGTTTGAAGCATTAAAAATCAGACTTCAAGAGCTTTATTTTGATATATAATCCACAACATAATTCTTTTTACATTGAGAGATGTGCTCTTTTGAAATTAGTTCATGTGTTAATTTGGGTTCTTTCTTTTTAATATTTCAACTTGCTCCGAAACACAATGCCTTCCTTAGGCATTTCAATCAAACTAGTTATTTTACCCAAGCTTCACATGAGATTTTGATATCCTTTTCTTGCACTAGTTCATTAGGGAATATGTCAAAATTCCAAAGGAGGAATAAACGTTTGCAAGCAGTAACAAAGAAATGGGTTTGCTGAAAGCCTGAACCATATAATCCCTCCGCCCCACTTTATCTTAACCAAATTTTCGTGTATATATTTAATATTTTAAAATGTAAAAACTTCTATCTTTTCATGCATTTCAGGTAGTTTCCTAGTATCTATTTTATGAAAATAAGTAATTATCTTTTGAATTCATTACAAGTAAGGTCAAATTGCCTCTCATAACGTAGTGGGGCACTCAGTTTGGGAAACAGAGACTCTGTGGGTGCAGTATTGCAAACTGTTGTGTGGACTTTATTTGTTGTGCCGATTCCCATTTTAGTTCTGAAAAAAGAATGTTTACACAGTGACTTAAATGAGATATTTTTGAATATTAAATTTAAATAGCAACATACTTTTATATTAAAAAGTTTAGCTCGCTAAAATATTTTAGTATATTTAATTTCCATTTATTGAAAAATGGGACGGCAACTTATATGTAATATTTTTTGACAAGTAGCTTAAATAGCAATGTAATTTTACTTTTTAAAAGTCTTGGCTCACTAACAATTTGACTAAATGTAATTTGTATTAGACTGCAATCAATGTGGTGTAAGCCTAAACTAAGGAAACAAAGTGATTTTTTTTATTCAAAAGTTGCTTGTATTGCCAATGAAACAAGGAGCACATCAATGCTTACATAGCAATCATATATACAACTTTGTATTATATACTGGATAATATGCTGTCAGCATTTTTAGTTTTTTCATCCCCTTTGGGTTATGGAATCAGGTCATTTTATTTTCTTTTACAATTTCAAATATATAAATGGATCTCTTTCTTTTTCAGTGAAGCATGCAACAAATTTATATCCTTGACAGAGAGGCGGCCAGACTTGATCAACCCTTGGAAAGGGGTGCAAAGAGACAATCAAGCTGTTCGGTGCTCTTATGGATCAGACATGTCCATTGACGATGACCCTGCTATTTCCAACCAGCCACCCACTCTGCCCCATTCTACCAGTCGTGGAGCCTATTCTATCAAACAGCAGCGACATCCCCAGCACCTTGACCAATATATGCCCTCAATATGTCAGCAACCGACACCCCTTTTGCAACATAGCAGAGAATCAAGCGTGGAATCAGAAGAGAAGAGTAAGGAAAGGGATGTCATTGTTGAGAAAGAAAAGGAAGACGACACTTCTTCCCAGAAAGCCAAATCAGCTGAGCTTAGTAGACATAAAAGGCGGCTCAGCGTTCAGGATCGTATCAGCTTGTTTGAGAACAAGCAGAAGGAAAGTTCTGGGAGCGTCGGCAAGCCAGTTGTTGGAAAGCTTGCAGAGCTTCAGAGGTTGTCATCTGATGTCTCAGCCCCACCTGTCGTTGAAAAGGCGGTGTTGAGAAGATGGAGTGGTGCCAGTGACATGAGCATTGATTTGAGCGGGGACAAGGACACTGAGAGCCCTCAATGCACCCCATCTTCTGCCTCTGTTTCTCAGTCCAATTCAAAGGACCAAAAGACATCAGTTTTGACTGATGGAGTAAGTTTTGGTGCGTCAAATTCATGCAATGTTCCGTCTATGGTTAGTGAAAGCAGATTGAATGAACAGACAGACGCTAATTTGAGGGTTGCATACACAAATGAAAAGGAAGAAGTTGCTGGAGCAGAACGATTAACTGGTTCTTGTGGGAATATTGATGATTCTTCTGAATTTACACCAAATTCTAATTCACGTATCTTTGATAGTGATGGATGGAAAGATCAAGCTTGCGGGAAGACTAAGTCAATCTCACTTATTAGAAGGGATGAGGATAAGAGTCTGAAAAATCAACTGAAACCTGGAGGGCAGTTCCTCACATCCCCTGAGAGTAAGAGCGACCAAATTGCTTTGACTTCCAACTCAGAATTCACAGGGTCCCAAGGGGGTAATGAGCTTGGTGGGAGTAAAGTCCTATTGGTTCATCAGGTTCCTGGCCTGAAAAATAATGGTGCTCAGCAAGGGCCTGAATCTGTGCAGGCCAAGATTCGGAATCATCAGGAGGTACTTGGATCAAGTAATCATTCGGTTTCACAATTACGAGATAAGGCCTCTCAAAGGACTACAGAGGACTCTGTGCAGTTGGATAGTAGTTCTAGATTAGAAGTTGCAGAATCTTTTGCTGCTAAAGGCGTCGAAAATAATTCTCGTTATCTTCAATCAAGAGGGCGATCACCTGGCAAAACTGAGGAAGTTGAAGAAGATGAGGTGGCTCCATATGAGAAATTAGCTGGTGCTTCTGCATCAAAGGGAAAGGATTTCAGCCAGCAACTAGTGAAGCTTAAAAAACAAGGTGCTTCTGCCCAGCAGATCAAGAAGGCACAAGATAGCAGAGCTGAAAGCAATTCTGGAACTAGCGACGTGCTGGTGTCTGGTAAAGTGTTTATGGAGGCTCAGGAGGGACCCAAGTCATTTTTTACATCACCTATAGGGCAAGTTCAGAGGGTAAGGCAGTCAAAAGGAAACCAGGAGTTGAATGATGAATTGAAAATGAAAGCGAATGAGCTCGAGAGGCTTTTTACCGAGCACAAACTACGTGCCTCTGAAGACCAATCTAATTCTACCAGGAAAAGCAAGGCCAGTGACATGCAAGGCCGGCCAGTTGCAACTTCTTCCAACAGGAAGCCTGTTATAGATAATGCTGTTGTTCAATTCTCTGACAATTACATGTTGAATGAACCTGCCACAAGTTCTGATGACATAGACAGATCTGCTATTACTCCACTGACTAAAGAGGCTGACAATCAGACTTATGGAGATGTTTTAATTATGACTTCCTCTGACCTCAGTTTTTCAGATAGTTCTCGAGGAAAATTCTATGAGAAATATATGCAGAAAAGGGATGCAAAACTTAGGGAAGAATGGAATTCTAAGAGAGCTGAGAAGGAAGCCAAACTAAAGGCTCTGGAGAACAGCCTTGAGAGGAGTATAGCTGAGATGAAGGGCAAGTTTGCAGGATCCACTGACAAGGAAAGTGCTGTTTCTGGTGCCCGTCGACATGTCGAGAGACTTCAATCATTTAATTCGAGGTCAATTTTGAGGAGGGATCAGGTATTTTAGTTCTGTTCTATTGATAAATTCAGCAATACTACACCCACATATGTACAATATCTGCTTCTTGTTCTTAGAGTTGATTGGTTGTTTTTCTGTTATGTGTAACCAACCTTGAAGAAGTTTCCTTTGACAGCAACGATTAGTTTTTGAGCAAAGTGATGAAGAAGAAGCTATGTCTGAATTTTCAAAGCAGAAAATATATGAAGACAGGTCTTTTGATGAAACATCTATTGGGGAAGATGGTTCTAGAAGCACTCAGAACAAGAAACTTTTACCTGTCAAAACTTTTTCTTCATCTACACCTCGCACCTCAGTATTAACTGTTCCAAGGTCTGCCGGAAAAGCTGCTACTAATACTTCAGGTAGACGAAGATATCAATCTGACAATCCTCTTGCTCAGTCTGTCCCAGACTTCTCTAACATCAGAAAGGAAACCACCAAGTCTTCTTCTGCAGTTGGTAAAACAACTCGTTCACAATCTAGAAACTATACCCGTGACAAAAGCTCCAATGAAGGAATATCTCTTGTCAAAGAGGACAAATTACGGCGATCACAATCCTCGAGGAAAAGCTCTGCCAATGTGGGAGAATTTAGGGAAGCATCTCCTTTGAGTTCAGAGGGTTTTGTGGCACCTCTCCGTTTTGAAAAGGACGAGATGGACCAAAGTCTCAGTGATAAATTTTTAAGGTCAGACTCGAAGACGTTCTTAATAAAGAGTAAAAACCCTGTCTTCAGCACTAGAGGTGGCCTGACTCAGAAAGGTGCTTCTATCATATCTAAGGTTGAGGGCAATGAATATGAATACAATGACATGGTTGTTGAGCCTGAAGATGCATCAGATAGGGTCCAGAGTAAAGAAGAGGAAGAATTTGAAAACGCGAAAGCTGAAGTTCAGGAAAACTTTGATAATGGGGAGCCAAGACTGAGTCATGATTCAGAGAAGATGGTGACCTCTGGATCAGAAAATGGTGATGTTTTGAGATCATCTTCTCAGGTAGACTCTGCTTCTGAAGCTGTATTGCCTTCTGTTGTTCCTTCTGAGTTTCTTTCTGGTGAAATTGTACAAGATTCACTTGGAGAAAGTCAAGGCTCATGGAATTTACATGCTCACCACCCTTTTTCTTATGCTCGGGAGATGTCTGATGTTGATGCATCTATGAACTCGCCTTTGGGGAGTCCTGTGTCCTGGAATTCACAGTCTCTAAGTCAGACAGAGAGTGATGCAGCTAGAATTAGGAAGAAATGGGGAATGACCCAGAAACCTATGTTTGTTGCAAATTCTGGTCAAAGTCAATCGCGCAAGGATACAGCCAGAGGATTTAAACAGTTACTGAAATTTGGGAAGAAAAATCGTGGCACAGATAACCTAGTTGACTTGATTTCTGCAACTACCTCTCGAGGAGACGATGACACAGAAGATGGATGTGATCCTTATAATCGGTCTTCAGAAGATCTTAGAAAGTCAAGAATGGGCCTCTCGCAAGGGCATCCACCCGATGATAGCTTGTATGAGGATGAGTTTTGCAGTGAACAAGGTGAAATTTTGATGTTTCATTCAATAAAAAAAGATTTCTTGTTTCTGTATGGCAAATATTTATTGATTGCCTAAAATTCGAATTAACTGTTCTGATTGTTAATTGTTTGATCAGTTCAAGAGTGGCCGGTTACCATATATTATAAGCTCGGGATACTCAGATTTTTTGTGTGTTTATTGAGGAAAATTTGACATCCGAACAAACAAAATAGTACTACAGTTACACCAAGACATGTGTGATAGGAAGTGCATAAGTGAATATGAAAATAAAGGGATCTTTTTTAGTCATAATGACTCTTGTAATGGATAAAAGGTAAGAGTGAAACATCCATCACGTTATTAGAAGTAGATGGTTCTTAAGGAAAATAAATGTGCTTATTATCTGTAGCTTCAGCTGGTCTATTTTAACTCCGTTACCATTGAGCTTTAAAGCTCCTATTATTTGTTTTTCTACATCAATCAATCAGCTATACTAAATCTGGTTGGCCATATGAATCCTCTATATCCATTCAATTCTATTTATGTCCGTTCATTCCCCTCAAAATAATGTCTTTCTACATCAATACATGAAAAAAGTTAGAGCTCGCAGATAAGTATTCAGTGGAGATCACTGTTTCTTGTATCTAGAGATAGCTAGATTTTACTATATAGAAAACTTGGAAGAAAAGGAGATCCTCAGTTTTTCTTTTTGCCAAGTGGTTAATTTCAGTTTTGCTCTATCTTATGTTAAGTCAATTTCAAACCAGGAGTTTTTGGGTCTTAACTTCTATCCATCTAAATGTGAATGAGAATGTTTTGGAAGGTTCAGTTGGTGATTTACTTATTCACTTACCTTCGGTTGTATGTTTGACGGAATTATCCAGTCATCTTTTCCAGCTTTATTATTAAGATTCTGGATAAAAAAGTTACTAACTGAACATTTTTTTCTTCTGGCAGTTCAATCCTTGCACGCTTCTATTCCAGCACCTCCAGCTAATTTCAAATTGAGGGAGGATCATCTATCAGGGAGCTCAATTAAAGGTGACCTCTTAGTAAATAAAATTGGTCTTTCCTGTCTTCTTCTTTGTGCATTCTATTTTCTATCAATTAAATGCCACCATGTGAAGAAACTGTGCACCAGAGATATGAGCAAAAACTTTTAAAAGGACAACTGAAATGGTAAAAAGCTTCTCGTGTTAGCATAGTTGTGACTTTGCTTCATAATAATAGAAAAGAGCTTACAGAAATTTGATTTTTTATCAGGTAAATAATTTTATTGTTAACGAGAAAATTGTAAACAAGCAGTATATCAAAAAGAAACTAGGAATGAGAGGCCATTCCTCAAATGTACATAGTCCTTTCTCTTTGAATGCTCTCCTATTTTTTTATTTCCACAGGACCCATATGAGTGCAACGTCCTAGACTCTTTGACTTCTGTTGATATTCTCTTGGTATTTTGTCACTTAAACTTTTCATGACTAGGATCTGACCAATTTTGACTTCTGCATATTATCATATTTACAGCACATCTGGTATTTGTCAATATTACTATTGCAGAATTTGAAGTCTGCAAAATTATTATGCTTCAGTGATCCGAAGTATTTTACATGCTAATTTTTGTTTAATTTACTGCTTGTACAGCTCCAAAATCATTTTTTTCCTTATCGACATTCAGAAGCAAGGCAAGTGACTCAAAGCCAAGATAGCTCTTTCAAAGGATAAAACTTCCACTGGGTCAAACGACAATATTTACTAGAGATTGACTACAATCAGCTGTGTATGGTGTATAGTTAGTATATCATGGGGCTTTGAGAGGCCTCGCTTCCACTTAGCTATCTGTAGCAATTTTCTCAAAATAGAGTGTTGTATATTATCTTGAGAGGACAGTTCCCTGTGGGGGAATGTTAATGTGATTTTGTTAGTCAGAGCATTCTTTTCTCACTTTCTTATATACCTTGATTTTGGGTAAATATCAGAAGTGGAAAATTTGTTCAAAATAAAATTTTGGGAGTAGATGGATAGCTATTTGAAACTGCTGTATTACAGGTTGTGATATAAAACATATTGCGACGTATGACCTCATTGTCTGGTGCCACAATAAGAGGCGTATTCAGGATTTAAATTTTATGGGTTCAACCTTAAGGTTTATAGCTTTTAATCCATTATCTTTTTAAAGTTATGGGTCACATCTGCTATTAGTTGAACCCGATACCGAAGGGCTGGATCCGCCCTTGCCCACAATGCCATTTTGCATTCCCTGTATTAGAGCAAATGTTTATTGAGTAAAGAAAAGTTAAGAGGAAAAAACAGCTAGAAGATATCAATAGCATCAATCAATGAGCGCAAAATTTAATACGAACTTAAATAATACTAAAAATAATTTGAGCTATAAATATAAATTAAGGAAAATAATTTAAGTTCCTAAAAAAGTGATATCGATCCTATTTGATTTACTCAGTAAAGAATGAATGCCACATCTTCGATGAGTTGACTTGCAGACTTCTAGCCAAATAGAAATATCACACAAAAGTACTTGAAAATGATACAAAATTCTACAAAGAAATATACTACCTTCAGACATTAACAAAATGAAATGTTATTTATATTCTTCTTAATATTTACCAATGGTATAATTTCACATTTTTGTCCTACTCCACGTTACGTCACATGTTTCAGGTACCTAGGATATGCTACGTGAGCCATGTCTGCCAAAAGCAGTTGATGCATGAAAAATGGTGGATGATGTAATATTAAACAATTCTTGGTTTTGCTTTCTTCCCAACTTCGACAAGTGGTCAATGCAATTGTTACCTTGTCTCAAAGTATGAACTAGACAAATTTGAAGTTCGGGCATGAGACGCCTACATTCTTCTATCACATCATGATTAGGGTGACTTTCGACATCATTTCTCACCGTTAGCAGCATTAGGGCATCATTTGAGTCGGTTTCAATGATAACCTTCTTCAAGTTGTAATTTTTAGCTAGGGTTAGACCACCATGTATAGCCCATAATTCCGTTGTAAGGCTTGATGTTGCTTTCATACTAAGTCTGCCATAGAATCCGCCTATCCACCTTTCTTTGTCGTCTCATGCAACACCTCTATATCCCGCTAATTCTGAATTGGATATAAAACTGTCATCCGTGTTAATATTGATAAATCCCGAAGGAGGGAAAGACCAGCTAATATAGACGGGTGCATTGCTCTGTTTGATTGTTGACTGAACATGACAGCCCCGAACTGTGTGTTCAGTACCGAGAAAATGAATAACTTGCCAATTAGTACAAGGCACATAAAGTGCCATGTTTTACGCACTGTTTTTGATTACTAAAAGTGTGTTGTAAAATCAAAGTGAAAGGGGACTATAAATAATAGTATTAAGGCTCTAACGTCCGTATGCCAACTGCCAATAAATGGATTTGGATTATTCCATTTAGGAAAATCGAAAAATTCCAAAACGTTTTAGGATTAGGTAAATAGAAAATAGGAAACCAAAGTGACACTTTCATTATTAACTGCAAAGTCCTCATATTAATTTATTCAAAGTTTAAAATATCAGTTACAAGTACAGTTCTATTTTATATGCATGAAGCAGAGCTCGAAGTGTTGATTGATTTTTTTTACCCTTTAAAAATATTTTATATTAAATAAAATAAATAATTTAATTAATTTTTTAATATTTAATACTTTAGATTAATTAAAGTATTAATTATTATATTTTTTTTCTTATTTGCATTATACGTAGAAGTCCTAATATTATTAGGATTTAAAAATTACTTAAGATTTTATATTATATAAAGCATTTTCTTATTAAACTATACATAGCAAAATTATAATACATAGTTTTCCCCCTAAGATTTGCTATCTTGAATGTATTCTCATGTGGTATGTATCTTCAACGACTTGACAAAACAAAAGAGTTCTTATTGGTATAGTATTAATTGACTTTACCTCTATTAATTTAAATTGAGTTTTATGAATTAATTTATTCTTTAGTTATCTAGGAGGAATGCAATTTAAAATTTGATTTTATTTCTGTCTTACTAATTCTTATTTTATGTACTTTATAGCTAAAAAAAGATGACGAATTTGATAGTTTTTTGCTAAGGTTTTTCAATTACTTCTTTAAATACTTTTGATTATAGACATAATATTTTTATAATATCTATAATTTATAAACTAAAAATTTATTTTCAAAGATTAAAATTAAAATTAAATAGTTGACTTTCGTATTGAGAAGTCGAATGAAACTTAAAGGAGATTGTATACGGTCAAAATCAGGTATGCCCGATTTCACGGGTTCGAGGGGTCGCCTTAAGCCCGAGTTCAGGATGAGTCGAGTTCGAGCTCGATGGACCAAGCTCGAGCCCGAAGACTGTGATGATCCAAAAGGTCATCACTTGTTTTAAAAGTAAATTCTGTGTTCCGAGGCCTTAAAAACCTCTTTGGGCATCATCTCGATTTGCGTGCGCAGTCCGGGCGCGTAGTCGGAAAGCCATTTTGTAAAAATATGTTAAAAATGATGAATTTTGCCTTTAAAATGAGTTTGAGTTGACTTCGGTCAACATTTTGGGTAAACGGACCCGGACACGGACCCATAATTTGATGGTCCCGGAGGGTCCGTAGGAAAATATGGAACTTGGGCGTATTCCCGGAATCGAATTCCGAGGTCCCAAGCCCGAGAAATAAATTTTTGAAAGAAATTGTTTTGCTGAATTAATTATGAAGTAAAGAAGAGAATTTATGTTTGAAACCATTGATATCGGGCCCGTATTTTGGTTCCGGAGCCTGGTACAGGTCTTATATATGATTTAAGTCGAACCTGTGAAATTTGGTAAGAAACGGACTTGAAATGACGTGAATCGGACCTTATTTGAGAAAATTGGGAAATTTGAAGTTCTTAAGAAATTTCATGATTTTGATGCTAAATTCATAGTTGTTGATGTTATTTTAGTGATTTGAATGCACGAGCGAGTCTGTATGATGTTTTTAGGTTGGGGTGCATGTTTGGTTTGGAGCCCCGAGGGCTCGGGTGAGTTTTGGATAGGTTATAGAGTGAAAATTTCACTTAGGAATTTGCTGGTATGTTGCAGGCCTGCAAGCTTCGCATTTGCGAAACCTGGCTCGCAAATGCGAGCATTGTATTGCAAATGCGAGAAGTGGCATGGGCTGCCTTATTCGCAAATGCGAAGAACTGGTCGCACATGCGAAGGCACAATCGCAAATGCGAAGAGGCCTGGTTTTCCTCAGGGTTCGCAAATGCGAAGAGGCCTGGTTTTCCTCAGGGTTCGCAAATGCGAACCCATGTTCGCAAATGCGAAGGTAGCAGAAGTCTGGTTCGCAATTGCGAACCCTGATCGCAATTGCGATACCTGCAACCTGTAAGTTCATAACTTAG